GTTTAAGAATCTAGTATTAGGCAACTGTGCAATATAACCAAAGCTTGATAGAAGTCTGCTAAACTGAAACATTATTTTCATGCTTTGAAGATTAAGAAAATTATTAGGAAATAAAATAACATTCGAAGGACGTGTACTCCATTAACACTGGACTTCCTATCAGTCAAATTTATGCTGTTCCTCCTGATATTAAGAAATATTTACTGTTACAAATTCATACTTAAAACTTACTTTAGAAGTTTTGAAAAGATGGAAACAATCCTTGGCTCCTGATCTCTTCTCCCATTCCTCGATCATCCTCTTTTAAGCACGAGAATAAGTTTGTTCAATACAAGGAGTGGGAAGATAGAGGATTTTATACAATTAGATTTCATTATTAATGGAAAACCCATTAATGCTGAATATATTCAGCAAAAGGAACGATCACAAATGCTGTTCCAAATAAGACATATTCAGTCGCTCCTTTGTAAATACTATTATAACTACTGACAACTTAGAATAACTGTACACACCTGCTTCACTTAAGATCAAGAGAAACTCTTCAATATAATATAAAACTTGTACATTAGTATAGCATTTTCTCTTGAAGTTTGAAAAATGTCTGGAAATTATGGGATATGAATTTGATGAATTCTCACTGAAACACTGTGGCACAGAATGTCATTTAAACCAATCTCAGTAAGTTATCAAAAACTGCCAATGAAGATAATCCACAAGGCCAGTGATGGGTTGCAGGCAGTACACCTTGGTACGGGTGTACCAGTGCCTGCCTGGAGCCCACCCGGCTGCCCTATCTGTATTTCAGCTCTTCGGCACTTCAGCACACACGCATGGAGCGCACGGCGCCTGCACAACACTCTACCAAGCAGCTGGAATGTCGCGGAGGCTCGCAGAGGCATCACAAGAGGTAAGGACGAATGAGTGTGCTGCACGCGTTCATGTGGTGGATAATGGGCCCCGTTGCAACCGTACCAGTTGCAACGGGATCCGGAACCCACCACTGCTTCAGGCACTGGTACCTGGCCTTGCATTCCCACTGGTCTTCCCTCTGCTTGGAAAGTAGTTCCCTCCCCACTTCAGGGGAAGGTTACTGCAAAATCCCCATTCCCTCCCAATCAGCTGGGACTCGGGAGGCAGAGAATAGATGGGGGTGGGGCCAGTCAGAGGTGGTATTTACTGGTTCTCCAAACTACTCAAAATTTCCGCTACCGGTTCTCCAGAATTGTCAGAACCTGCTGAATATCACTTCTGCCAACAAGTTATTTCTTTTATTTTGGCTAAGAATTTTTGAAGTTTCTCTATAAATCACTCAAAACTTTTAGGCACTGTATTGTTTTTTGTGTATCATCCATTTTTCTAAATCATAACACTGATAAAACATAAGCAAGTGATTCAATTATTATTATTACTAGATGCTAGGTTTATTTCAAATATTAGAAAACTGAAGACAGGATCAATGGATTTTAAAGCAGAGGAAATAGTTTTGGTCAAAAAATTGACCAAAGAAGAAAGAGTTACGCAACATCATATATACATCTATGCATAATTAGACATACATCTTCCAAATTTTTTTTGCAGTTTTAATTCTTCTGTTTTATTTTTTGACACTGATTTAATTTTTAATTTTAAAAAAAAAATAGAAATCCAAAGTAAGTCTACTTTTCTTTTACACATTCAATTATTATATCTAGAACCATATCGACTGCGAGATTAGCGGCAAATAAATTTGATGAATAAATAAATAAAATTTAAACCTTTCTCCAAGGAATTTTATGATAGATTACAGTAATGTTGTTTATATATATATATGATTGAAAGTCCCACTTCACCCAATGCTACTTTATACTTTCAATTAGCATGTATTTGAAGCCAGAAGTTTAATTTTACAGAATGCATATTGGTACAAAAATTGTGTGAATATTTTTTGTAACACAGAATAATTTAAATAATACAGAAGAAGAATAAAGCAACAATGGAAAACCCCAGTCTATATGGCCAACCCATCCAGTTTACAATTTTCTGAATTATATCCCTCCCGAATACTGCCTACCCATATCCATATTCCTATCTTAGCTTATTTTACCAATCCTTTGCTTATGGGCCATCTTTTCTCTTCAAAGGAAAATAGTGGGACATATCTGTCGTTTTGATCTCACATATGAAGGATGAATCACAGGTGAAACAGGAGTTGTCTGTTACATCCCACAAACAGGAATCATGTTAGGCTGCTCCTGCACACTTTATCCATATTCTATATCTCCTGAAGAGGAAGTAGTGAGGCCCAAATAAAGAACTTTAGCCAGGACCTGCAGCATGGTTCCCAGTCAGGAAATGTAGACAGCACTTCTTGCTTTCCTTAATATATTTCTCCCATGTAAGGGGGAAAGATGAGGCATAATGAAATTATGAAATTGGAAGATGCCACATGTATTATGATCTAATGCTGAGGTTGTATTAGCAACATTAGCATCTCTTGGACTAGAAGACTTCCAAGGTCCCTTCCAACTCTGTTATTCTATTCTATTCTTTCTGTCCTTTATTTTTTCTAGTTATTGGGGGACGGGGACAGATGGAATGAAAGTCAAATATACTATAATATAGTGCATTTCATTTTTCTCATTTTCCACTGTTTTACTATAAGGAATTTTGACCATAAAAACATGATACTGTAAAATGTATTTTAAATATTAATGTTACAAAAGTTCATGATAGCAAATAAAAAAATGAAACTGAATTACACCTAACATACATATAATTAACATGTAACTCTTATGATTCCTAGAGTCATGCAATACACTAAGCAATATCTCAAGTTTATCAGTCATGATTTTCAATCTTAGCTGGGAAAGTTACAAATTAATTTTAGTAGAAAATATGCCAGACTGCAGGATTGTTACTATTTTGTAACGTTTGGTGTGATTTAAATCATTTGGGGGGGGAGGGGGAGTATTTATTAACACAGAGCAAGAATAAAAGTAAGTACTATTTGTCAGAACTTTTATATAGTGATAGCTAAAAACAGTATATAATCCATAAGCAGATTTATTGCTGAATACTTCCAACATTTTTCTTGTTTTCAAAATGTCAGAGTTGCCATTTTAATATACTTTTATCAATGATGTACCACTTTAGTAATTTTAAATATCTTGAAGATACGTATTTTAAAAAAGCTTTTAGTTAATCTACAAACATATAAAATAGAATATATACTAGCATTATTAAATGAAGAAACAGGGTTAGGCAGCCAGCAGCTAACAAATGGAGTATTACTTATTAAATGCTTCTGTAATCATTAAATTATAATAGACCACAGCCAACAAACTACTTTGTTGAGAGTTGAAGAGCTTTCAGAACTGGTATATTATGCTTCAGAATGGAATAGTTATCTCTATACCTTTGATCTGGTATATGAATAAATTCATAGGCCATTATTTTTTAAATAGCTCATATTTCAAAAAACTTTCATGAAATCTCTTATTGTATGATTTCAATCATTATTTTTAATAATTATGTTATATTTAATTTTGGAGTCTCACAGAACCAGATACCCTTTGAAAGCGTCATGGATGTGACATTGCTATGTTGTTCCATGATAACTAATATGTGGCACATCAACATCATGTTAAAAACAACTGGTTCCACCACATATGCTACATTCTGATCATTATATTTTTAAAAGATTCAAACAAACTAGACAAACTTTGAAGTATGGCAACAACTAAGATCATTCACTGGCATACTTCAGTCTCAAAAGACTATGGTATTGTGTTCTGGAAAGAGATCCTAACACAACATCTGGAGCTGTATGGAGAGCTGGAGCGTCCTCTCCAGAACACAAGGCCTGGTTAGATTAACATGGAGATAGACTGTTACCCAAGCAGCAGATCCCCCCACCCTCTCCACATCACTGGAACAGCAAAGCCAATACAATTGGTTCCAGCTGCGTCATAGGAGTTACCAGAACATGATTGCACATAGTCACAAACTGCTTCCAGGACTCTGGCTCTGGATTTTGTCTCGAGGTTGACTCCTAAAGCCTTTTCCAGTAGTGGATGTAGCCACAAGGCAGTGGAGGTTTGAAGTCAGAGTTTCCCTTCTCCTAGAAGATGGTTCTGCCACTTTATCTGCCATTGCGGCATAGAGCCCTCTTCCACTTTCAAAACTGTTGACCGCCTTCTCCTGTAACCCTGGAAAGGGGCCCTTATAATGTGCTACCAGCCGGACCATGGTTTTTAGAGAGGTATTAATCTTCCAGCACTCCTCCTCACTCCAGAACTCCTGCTCCAGATTTTGCTTCGAGGTTGACTCCTGAAGCCTTTCCCACAGATGGGCATGGCCACAAGGCAGTGGAAGTTTGAGATTGGAGTTTTCCTTCTCCCACATGGGTTGCCTTCCAAGGCTAATGGACACTGTCTAACTGGTTTCTTTTTCCACGCACACGGCTAACACAATTTCCCATTTATACTCAAACAGCCACTCTCCCCTCCCCCTAAAAACAGATTCATCCATGAGGTGAGCGGAAGCGCAACTATGATCAAAGAACTGAAATTTAAATCTTACATAGAGAGATTGAAGAAATTAGATATGCATTTGACCTCACATAAGAAAAGATCAAAACTTGTTTTTACCTCCTAGAGAGTATGACACAGAATAATGGTTTTAAATTACAGGTAGCCAGATTGGAGATGAATGGTTTTTTTTTTAAAAAAAAATGCTCATAGTAATAACAATTTGACAACAGAACTAAATCACCAAGAGAAGTAGTGAATTGTTCTTTCCTGGATATCTGCACAAACTTTGATAAAATGCTTTAACTTAAATTTCTGTACTGAGCAATATACTGAATTCAATGTCTGTTTCCAATTGAATACATAAGTACATAAAACTATTCAAACAATAAATTAGAAAAATCGCTAATTATGAGCTAAAATTCAATAAAAACCAAGTATAGTATAAATAATCCCAAAACATTTTTACAGATTTTTGAAATTTAAAATTACCTGTATGCATCGTCTTCTTTCAAATCTCATACCATCCTGTAGGGTGGGTGGAAGAGGCCAGCAGCAAACCCTTTAACATAAAGAATAATTAGTTAGATGGTATCAGGAGAATTCTTTAACAGGATATGATTCTGCCTTTAACAAGTCATTCCAGTATTAGTTACTATGAATGAAAGCAGCTGTCCAAGGTCTGAGAAAGAAGATTTTCATACATCTGTATATCACACTGAATTATACAAAAGATTTTTCTCCATATTATTAATTTGAAAATGCATGGCCTCTACATGGGAAAACACAAGTTATGCCTCAAGGTTATTAAAACATACTAGATCAGGGAGAGAATGTTTGGCAAAGCATTGCTTAAAGATAAATCCAGAGTCACATTAGGTGACATTCAACAATATTTTAAAAATAAATATTTTAAGGTAAAAATATTTTTAAATGGACCTCACTCTATAAAGTTTCCTTCTTCTGGTGTATTATTATTCCATTCAGCTTTAATGCCTATTATGCATGTTTTCATACCATAGTCTAACTCTGAAATTACAATTTTTAATGGGAATATATTCTTTGACTAAAATCTTGCTTGGATGTTATCTTTCAAACACATTTGATCACACTTTATCTAATAACATAGGTAGTAGACGTACTAAAGGGATTGTGAAATGTTTTTGTTCTTTTTTATAAGAACCATCTAACTGCTTTACATTGATAAATTAAACAGAACCTAGTAAAATTAGGTCCCAGTTTTATTTATATTTTGCACTACCATTACAACCTATTAATAATAATACAACCATACAACCACAGGATACATTAGTGAACTTGAGTATATAAACAATCAGATCTTTCTATTTTACAGTAGGTTCTTGTTTTCCATATTCAAAGATTTTTCAGATCTAATTTTGAGTCATGTGTACAATGCTAAAAAACTAAACTACTTTTTTAGCAGCACAGTAAAACCTCATTCTCTATTGAGCAGATTCTAGATGCAATGGACAAAGTTTGAACTCTCAAATAAAAGTCAGTCTATTGTTGAGCAAATAAATCAAGACAATATTCATACATGTTACATAAGCTGCATAAAATTATATAAATTTTATTTGCATCATGCAAAATTTATGTACCCTGCACCATTTTACAAACATTCAGCTTTAATGGACATCTACTCTAATAAAAATGCCATTTAAAAAATATATATTATCTACTACTTAACATCAATTTTGTTTCTTCATAGTTTAGGGAACTGTAGTCCTTACTTACCAACTATCTGTTCAATGACCAATTGAAATTGAAATTTAGTATTACTAACACTCAGTCCACAAAGTTCTGGCTGTTGCAGCACCACAACTGACAATTTTGCTTCTTGGCAACCAGCTCATATGAAAGTTGCAGCATCCACACAATCACTTGTCATTTGAGATCTCCCTACGACTTCTCATAAGCAAAATCAATGGGGAAATTGGCAGGGAAGATTACAAATCAGGGTCTTATTTTCTTTTGACCACTGAATAAGCACTTGGCCTTATTTTTGGGGAGGGCTTATTTTAGCGCATGCACTCAAAAGCTCGATTGGGCTTATTATCCGGGGAGGTCTTCTTTTCTGGGAAACAGGGTAGTGTTGTGCCATCCACATCCTTCCTGTACTCACATATCCCACACCCCAAATTTTCTACATTTACTGTGCTGCAATACTCCACTTCCCATCCCCAGCATCTTTGAATATTGGGTTTTCAATGGTAACCAGGATTACTGAGATTATTGTCATCAAGTCGTATGAAGTCATTCTTTATGACTGCTTCACTTAGTGTCATTAAGTCTGGCCCTGATTGTTGTGATAACCCAAGGACTGCATATAAAACATTCAAAGTCAACGTATTGCTAGAATTTTTCTCCATAATTTCACACATATTATAAACAAGGATTTTTATAATAATATACTGTTTCCCTGAAAATAAGACCTCCCCAGATAATAAGCCCAATTGGCCTTTTGCATGCATGCACTAAAATAAGCCCTCCCCTGAAAATAAGCCCTCCCCTAAAATATTTAAATGCATGCACAGCTGGTCCCCCACCATTTCCTGGGGGGAGAAGTGGGGAACATGCTCCATGTGCCCCACATGCACCTGCCATCTATGCAGAATGACCTCGCGGAAGCCACTTCCACAAATCCTAGCTACTGTGCTACTTCTCTTAGTGGCACCCGCAAAAAGAGTGGCAGCGATACTAGGGCTGGCAAGAGTGTGCCAGAAACAGAGACAGAACTTCTGGCCCTCTCTGGATCAGCTGATCTACGGGCTGAGGTTAAGGAGCCAACTCCACCTCAAAAATAAAACCTCCCCAAAAATAAGGCCAAGTGCTTATTTTGGGAGTCAAAAGAAAATAAAAACGTAATCTAAAAGCAATCTGAACATCAGCAATCCATATAATTTGTTTTATTTTTAACTATTTTAATGAATTAATTATCACAATTCACTTAAAACTTATTTCCCCAATTCCACAAAGATTTTAACAAAAACCAAATGTTATAATTTTTTTATCATTTCAGATGTTACACATTAACTTTCAGTAACTTGGATATATTACAGTGGTTCTCAACCTTCCTAATGCCGCGACCCTTTAATACAGTTCCTCATGTTGTGGTGACCCCCAACCATAAAATTATTTTCATTGCTACTATGTAACTGTAATTTTGCTACTATTATGAATCGTAATGTAGATATCTGATAAGCGGAATGTATTTTTATTGTTATAAATTGAACATTAATTATTCAAGCAGTGATTAATCACAAAAACAATATGTAATTATATATTGTGAAATATGTGATTCTAATTACAAATAAATGAAATTTTGTCTTGAAGCATGGTTTGGCACAGGGGTCGGCAATTTTAAACACTCAAAGAGCCATTTGGATCCGTTTCCCACAGAAAACATCAGGAGCTACAAAACCTGGGTGGGTGTGGTCAACTCAGCATCACTCCCACCAGTCACATGACATCCCCCCCCAAGACATGCCTATCCAGGTTTCCTGGCTCAGTGTTTTCTGTGGGAATAGGGCCTCTCTCTCTTATCTCTCTCCCTCCCTCTCATTTCTGTTTTTCTCTATTTTTTCTCTCTCTTTCTTTCTTTCCTTCCCTTTCCCTCTTTCTTTTTCTTTGTTTCTCACTGATTACGATAGCAAATCCAAGATAAAGTTATTAATTGTAGGAAATTGCTTCTCCGTAATCTTTTCATGGTGATCTCTAAGTTGATAGAACCTGGCAAGATTGTATTAACAGCAATAGGATATATATTTTGATTTCTTTTGAGTTTGACAATATAATACCCAAAATTATAATCTTATTTTCAGATGCACTTTTTGCCATCTGTTATTTTCTTTTTAAAAAATCAGACTTGCTTACAATTTGTGCCTTCTGGCAAACTGCAGTTTCCTTGGCAAGAGATCTAGCTTGCCATTGCTTTTATCATAGGTCTGAGAAAGATAGTTTCTTTCTTTCCTCTTCCTCTTTGTTTCCCTATATTTTCCCTCTCTCCCATTCTCTACTTCCAGCTCTTTCATTTCTCTCTCTTTCTTCCCTTTTCTCTTTCATCTCTTTCTTGCACGTGCAAGCAAACTACCCTCCTGCGCCGGGATCACGGCGGCGGGGACAGCGGCTCCTTCCACTGTCACCACTGAGAAGGGAGTAACTGGCTGTGCAGGAGAGCCATGCTGTGCAGGAGACTCCTCAGCGGCAGACTCAGGTCAGCGCCAGCCACGGTCCCCTTCGTGTTGGCTCAGGAAGGAGCCGGAGCAGCCATCTCTGGATGCAGAGAGGGAGGAGTTCCAGAGCCTTGCGCAAGGAGAGCTGTGTAGTGCAGGAGAACTGGAGCTCTTCCCTCCCTGCACCCAACCGGCTGCTGCTGCTGCTCCCCATTCCCCTCCTTCCTGAGCCAACACGAAGGGGACCGCGGATCGTGCTGACCCGAGTCTGGTGCTGAGGAGTCTCCTGCACAGCGTGGCTCGCCTATGCTGCGTACCCAGTTACTCACCTCATTGCACAGTGGCGACAGCGGGAGGAGTAGTTTTCCCCTCCGCCTTGATCCTGGCCCAGGAGGGTATTTTGCTTGCACGCATACATACAAGAGACGAGCACAAGAAAAGGGCTGGAGCTCTTCCCGACACTGAGTTGCCTGCAAAGGACGCAGAGTTGCAAAAGCAGGCGAGAGCTCATGCCTCCTCGGGGTGGAGAGTTGATTGCGCGACTGGGTCAGCAGGGAGCCGCAGGAGAGGGGCCAAAGAGCTGCATGCCTACACTATATCATGGGTAACAGTCTTAATAGGGAATCTCAGCGTACGCGCATCTCATGTTCCTTTATTTTATTTTATTTTCCCTGCCTTGTTTTACGCCTCAGAAATGGTATCTCTTGTCTTCCGAAGCTCTGCCCATCAACCTCCATCACTCGGAACGAGCTGCTTTCCCAGTGTCCTCTGTGCTGCGCGTGTTTTTCTTTCCCCCCCCTTTGCCTCCATTCCAGCTCCTTTCACCCTACCCACCACACACACACGCAAACACACACTGTGAACTTGGGCGCTTGGCCACCTTGGGCGAGAGGAGCAGCAGAACCCCCTCACCTACCGGCGCAAGATTTTGTTCTTTCCTTCTCCAGCCGCGTGCATGGTGATCCCACTTCGCAGACTTTCAACCAGTAACCCCCTCCTCCCCTTCCCGTGTCCCCACTGCGGTCCCCCTTCCTTTCTTCTGTTCGGTTTCCAGCTAACGGTTTCCTCCTCGGAAGAGCCAGTGATGTCAGGTGGAGACTCGGCGGCTGCCAAGCCTCTCCTCATCCACTGCTTTTCTCACTGCCCAAGCCTCCCCCTTTGATGCAGCTCAACCCCGGCGAAGGTGTGTGTTCTGTAGGAACTCCTGGGCAGGAACAGTCGCTGAAAAACGTCCGCATGGGAGGCCAGCCAGAGTGGCCTGCTGGGAAGCCCTTCAATCTTCTGGCACATCTCCTTCCGCCGTGCGGGCAACCCAAGCCGCTCCTTCCCTTCGGCCTGGCTTCTCACCAGCCTCTCTGTGGGAGGCTCCTTGGTGACCCCTGTGAAAAGGTCGTTCGACCCCCAAAGGGGTCACGACCCACAGGTTGAGAACCGCTGATATATTAAATACTACAAGCATAAAGCTTCCAAAAAAAGTTTACAATATTATGGAACATAGAAATGAATTAAAAATGCAATCTAAAGCTTTCCATACATTCAGTGAATAAAACCTATGACAATGAGGCATTAA